CATATCCCCATATTTTTATTTTATTTTTTATTAATTTTTATTAGGGCTCACTAAGTTGCTTAGGGCCTTGCTAATTTGCTAAGGCTGGCTTTGAACTTGCAATTCTCCTGCCTCAGCCTCTCAAGTTGCTGAGATTGCAGGTGTGCACCACCACACCCAGGTTATTATTTATTTTTAGGATAAGATAATGAATTGGACAACTCTTCATTATTTGGGGATTTTCCTTCTACACTACTTCCGGTTCTCAGTTTGCATTACCCCTGCCCCACACTACTTTTTCAGCAGATCAGTTCTGCAGTGGTCTAGATAGCAGCAGAACAGAATACCTACATTTGGCCAAGGAGAAGAATGTATCTGAGTTCAAGTCCTTGTTCCCATATTTAATGTAGAACTGAAAATAATTTATTTTGCTAAACTTTTGTAGGAATTGAATAAAATAACATATACCAAATGTCTATAATATATTGGAAGCCCCAGACATGTCTGTATTTTTATGATCAGTAATCTAACTGCCAAAACCTATGCCTTTCTCATATCTCATTGTCCATGATGATGCAGACTCATTGGGTATGGAGAACCATTCCTTCCTTGAGACCCTCTCTCCTTTATCCTTGTAGGGTCTCTGTTTTCTAGACATCCTGTGTATCTTTCATGTTTCCTTCCTTGCTATTCATATATATATATATATATATATATATATATATATATATATATATAAAAGAGCCATCCTTATAAATATATATACATACATATATATTATATATATATATGTATATGTATATAAAAAGAGCCATCCTTATAAATATATATATATATATATATATATATATGTATATATATATTTATAAGGATGGCTCTTTTTATTAATCTTACAAATACCTTTTTACCAAATGGCTCTGGAAAAAAAATCAGGGTCCACAGATTGAACATCCAGTGTCTTCATGCAAATTCAGAGCCCAGCAATGGGCTGTAAGTCATTTGGGCAAAGCATTTGGTCTCTCTGAGAGCATTACACATTCTTCTGTTCAGCCATGTTTCCTGCAAAAGGCAGTTAGTTGCATGTGATGGGGAGGAGGGTTTTGCCCTCATTACAAATTAATGAATCAGTAAATGAACCTAGAGTTAGAGCTTCCAGTTCAAGTTTGCAGAGACAAATTTCTGCACGCTTCTGCTGACTTGGTATTTATCCAGCAGCCAGAAGGAAACAGACCATGAAGGGAATCTACAGAAATCGCAGAGTCTTGTTACAGACTTGAGATTTCCAATAATTATTTGCAATCTTTTCTCCCAGAGTTTACTAGCCTGCAGTAGAAAGGAGGTCCTCTTGATATCCACTGCTTAAAAGTCATCACAGTCTCTAAGGTCAGACCTCCAGTATTCTGTGAGGTCTCGCCCCAATGTTCCTGGTTGAAAGCAAATGAAAGGGAATATGAGGAGTTGTACAGAGCCCTGAACGCCTGTTTCTGAGTTTCGGCACCAAATGAAAGCACATGAAAGAGAATACAAAAAGAAAAATAAAATGGAAGCAGACCTCAATGGACCAGCGATCCTTTATTAAGCAATGGAGGGGCATTTCAAGGGGAAAATGGTGGTGAGCAGTAACAACGGTCTGGGTTTTATAGGGTTTAGCAGGCGCAGGTCATTGAAGGAGTTTTGGTGTTGGACTCAATTAGGGAAGGGCAGGAGGGCAGGTAGGGGAACAGTAAGGGAAGTTCCCTGGTACTTCTTATCCACATCCTTCACTGGTAGTATGAGTGGGTATCTTTCACATGGCCACAAAAAGATGCCCTTCTGTCATGTGTCTCTGATAATCAGGTTTTAATAGGAATTGAGCCCTAACACATGGAGACTCTCAGTCCTCTCCACTGTCCTCTGGGCATTGCCATCAATATATCAATATCCCTTCAGTTCCAAGGCTAGAGCTGGCTTTTGTGACAAATAAGAGGTCTCCCATCACTCCAGGACTTGGAATAAGACATGGCCATTTAGGTCCCAAAATAGCAGTGCCTGTGACCCTCACCTCAAATACAGTTCCCTCCCTTTCTACCAGTAGCCCTCTCCCCACAGACACAGATGAAGCATTCTGTCCACCTCTGTGCCTGTTCCCAGAGACAAACTGTGAACTGGTTTCCCTCTTGCAGATCCTTCACATCCGTGCAAGCTACTGAGCCCCATTCTCAGATAGCCACAACTCTCAGTTTACCTCTTTGAAGCCAATAAAGACAAAATCCCTAATACTGGGGAGCTTATTTAAAATCCCGGTGTTTTCTAGAAGCATTCAGGAACTCCATTCAATATGGGGAGGACACTTGGCATAACGAATGCCTAGGCCATCTTGGAACTCAGGGCTACAGGGGCAGCCTCCTTTCCTCATCTTGTTAACAAATTTGATGACCAGGGGTGGAGAAATAAGATGAACATGATATTGTCCCTGCCCTATTGCAGCTCCTGGCTCAGCAGGACAGACAAATTGTCATTGATGATTTAGGAAGGGATACCACGGAAACATGGCATTGATTTGGAAATCTAAGAGAGATAAATGGACCAAGGAAGGAGATTTCAAGAATAATAAATGCTTGGAGATGTGTTTTGAAGAATAAGAGAAATTAGCCAGATAACCAAAGACTGGGTGAAAAGAGATTTATTTGAAAGATAAACATGAATGAAGGTTTGATTTAGTTTGAGAAACCACAGCTAATTCCACATTTTATTCAGGAAGGTAGCTATTATCTATCAGACAGGAATTTCTATAACCAGGACAAGGGTGGGGTGATAAGGAGACAGGTACTAGCTTCTTTAAAATTTTGTGCTCAAATCAGTGGTATGTACCTGTAGTTGCAGCTACCCAGGAACAGAGGCAGGAGAATTTCTTGAGCCCAGGAGTTCAAGGCCAGTCTGGGCAGTGTGGCAAGATTTCATCTAAAGACAAAGAAGTTGGGGGTTAAGAATTAGCTCAATGGTAGAGTGTGTGTTTAATATGTATGAGACCTTGGGTTTGATCCCTAGAACCATAAAAAATAAATTCATATACTGCACAATATTTAAACTTAGACTATTGGCTAATACTATAGCTAATTGGAGGTGAGCACTTGCTAAAATGAGACGTGTTATCTTTACATTAAAAAATAAATCAAATCCAAAGATGAAAAATTCTTTATTGTAAGTCCTGGTGTACTTGTTCACCAAGCCTGGAGTTGCCAGTAGACCCTGGGAGTTTTACTTCCAGAGAAAATCCTTCTCTGACCCTCCTTCAAGCCTCACATTGTACACACTCCCTAGAGTCTTGCAGTTTTCTTTATCACAGTTTATTGAAAGTGCATTTGTGTGTATGTGTGTCTCTGTGTGTATGTGTGTGTATCTCTGTGTGTATGTATAATTTGATTAACCCATCTCTTTCTCCAGACTCAAGATCAAGGAATTTTCTTCCTAGCATATTGTTTCTAGTATAAAATCTGTCACAGAATAGATGGTTGATAAAGATGTGCTGATGGTGAGGCTCCTGTCATTGTGTGCTCTACTCGCTGCTGTTGTGACTTTGACTGTTAGAATTTTGTCTCTACTGGGCAATCAGGAAGTGTATCTTAAGAGGAGGAAAGGCAGTGGCTACTTGGGTTAGTCAATCTGGCCTTGCAGAAGGAGAGGCTGAAAGCCACTAGGGAATTGAAAGTGCTCTTTGAGCCAAATGCTAAATGAGAGGCTGACACTTACAACAGGAGCTTTCAACTGATGTTTGGGATGGAAAGAGTAATAAGTTCTTTTCAAAGACATGAGGTCTGGCAAGCATGCAGGACCAGATACATAATTGGCAGAATCCAGTGCAAAATCAAAGTGCAGCCCCTAGTTATTATTATTTTAAGAATTTCAAGATGGCAACACCAAAGCATTAAACCCAGTTCAGGGCCCTATGTGACTGCACAAGTGTCCTGTTCATGAATCTGATCTTGCAAACATCCAGAGCCAATCAACCTTACATTTACAATTCTTGATTCAAAAATTAAGAGTTTTTTCTTAATGGGGGAGAAAGGCTTTTAAATGTTTAGGTGTGTTTCCTTTTCCTGCACACTCAGGTTATATCTTCAAAAGAAACTGAGCCTTTCCTTATCCAATGATGCTATCTTTATGTTTCCAAAAGACAGAATAAGGCAGGCTTTGCCCCCTGTGAACAGTCTTAAACTTGTCACACTGCAACATCTGATAGCTCTTCAGCTTTTAAGACCTGGCTTAGATTTGAAACTTTGCACACCTAAAAGCATGGATTTTTGAAGTCAAAATGAGTCCAAATCCCAGTTCTATCATTTTTAGTTTAGTGACTTAAAACAAATTACTAACTCCTCCAATTCCTCATTTAGAAAATGGAAGTGATAGTGTCTAGCCCCACAGGGTGCCTGTGAGGATTCAATGAGGTGGCAAGTGGAAAGGAGGTGAGCTCAACAAATGCAATACAAAATGAGCAGCAGGTGTCCACACACTACTTGCACTATCAGCATTAGATTAAAGTGGAATAGGGGAAATTGTAGTGTCCACTCGTCAGGGGACCTCGTGCTCTGGTCTCTGCTCTTCTGCCACTGAACCCTATAAATAGCTAAGTCACTGTATCTCTGGGAGTCACTATTTCTTGGGTTGGGGAATGGGGAGACCTTGCAGGTGGTCCCTCCTTGCTATTGTCATTCATGGTCTTCTATTCTTCGGGGTTTGGTCTGAATTCTCACTATCCCACTTAAGGAACCACCCCTGACCCAGAGCTGGTGGAAGCCCAGCCTCCGGCAGAGCTCCGGTGGGCACTGCCAGCCCGCCTGCCCTCACTAGTCCCTACTCCCTGCGCTGGCCGCGCGGCCCCGCCCAGAGCCACTCGCGCCTCCCCCCTCCTCCCGCGGGCAATCCCGAGCCAGCTCTCCCGCGGCCGGGTGGGTTGGGTGGCTGTCACGACTGTGCGGTCGCCAGCGAGGTGGCCGCGGGCGCGGCGGGGCGGGGCTGGGCGCGCTCTCCCCCCCGCCCGCGGAAGTGCTGGGGAGGTGGGCAGGGCCGGGGCAGGGGTGAGGCCGGAGGAGGGCAAGTCGGCGGCTGGGCGAGGATGGAAGTCCCCGGGACCCGGAGCTGAGCGACGGAGCGCGCGGCGGGCAGGCGCGCCGGAGGAAGGCGAGCTTCGCTGTTCCTCCGGGAGCCCAACACCGTTCCCGCCCGGCCACGATGATCCCTCCAAGCGGCGCCCGCGAGGACGGCGTAGATGGGCTGCCCAAGGAGGCGGCGAGCGCGGAGCAGCCGCCCTCTCCTGCATCCACCAGCAGCCAGGAATCCAAGGTACCGCGCACACTTGCCCCAAGAGAACACAAACTCACTCTGCCCTCCTCTCCCTGTCCACCTCTTCTCCTTCTTTCTGGCGCTTGCGCTACAGGAGATGAGACGTGTCCCTAGTTCAGCCAGGGCTCAAGGACTGGCCCTCCCTTGAGACTTGAACCTCCAGCAGGACCCGCTGCTCAGGATGCTGGACCTCCTCCCTGTGGTCCCAGCTTTGTCGCCCACACACACCCGAGCCTTGGCGCTGGGCTCCGACCCTGGGAGCTCACGCAATTCATATTGACTCTGGATTCAGAGATCGATTTCTTGAGGCGGGTGGAAGAGGCTTGGTGGTTCTGTGTTTTGAGCCTGCTTGTGCCCAAGCGCATGTAGATTTTAGGGGGGCTTTTGAAGACCGAGGGATGGAGGCAGCCAAGGGATACTCCTTCAGAAAATCCTGGGCACGAAGCCAGCAAAAGGTCTCATCCCAAGGGTCTTAGAAACAGAGCCTTTGCTTAACAGGGCTCATCCCTAACTTCAGGTAAGGATAGTTTAAAAAGAGAAATACTGCGTTAGTGAGAAAGTTGGTGCTTCTCCTGTGGAAGTTAATACTCTAACAACTTACACTTGTCTTTATAACAGTCACTAACACATATATACAAAACCAACCCCGCAGCACTTCTCCTGTCACTATTACACTTCCTCTGAAACTTGCGTGGGTGCCAGGCACATGTTTGGAAATCTTGGAAGAGAATCAAGTAAAATGTGGTTGCTAGCAGTGCATGCCAAATGGCAACTCAGCTGGGAGTGGAAATCGTAAGATGGAGTTTGTAGTTATATGGATTTTTTTTTTTTTTTCAGTGCAGGGATCCTGGCTCCTTGTACAGATTTGTGTGTGTGTGTGTGTGTGTGAGGACCCCAGGCATTTTTGGAATGTGAGGCTGTCCCTGTATAGTAGCAAAGGAAAGGAGGATGTCAGTGTAGAGGGTAGGTCAGATGGGGCAAGGAAAAGTACAATCCTGTCTCCATGCACACACATCCCCAGAGCCACTGATGAAATCAGCAGTATCAGAATCAACCTAAGTGACTCTGGGGATTTGGTGGGATGCTGGGCACTGCACATTTCCCAGCCTCCCAGAGTTAACCATCAAGGATGGTAATCTTTGCTTTTTTATTTTTATTTTTTTCTGTTAATCAGTTGGCTGACTCAGGGCATGTGTTAAATTTTCTAAGAGTCAGTTGGAAATGAGGGCAAAAGCCTCTCTTCCAGGATCATGGTGAGGCATACATGAGATCGCCTAGTTTCCATCCTGGTAGTATCAAGACTCTGTATTTTTCCTTTTCCGTTCTGAGGTGGAGGTGGAATCCATCACATCGCAGATGATCCACCCCAAAGCAGGCTCAAAAATCACATACGCACTACCTTTCTTCCATCTGGACGTTTGAGGAGTCTCATCGTTAACCATCAGTTCTAGAAGCAATGTGGGTTAGCGGCCATTTCAAAGGTGATCTAGAATTCTGTAAATGAATGTACCTAAATGCAAGAGGGACACTGGTGTGAAACTTTTTGAACTGAGCCTGTTGCTCTCCTGTAGGTGTGTTCCGAAAAGGGCTTAGCATTTGGGTAAACAGCAGCGTGGTTCAAACACACTGTATGGGTTTGCTATTTATAGATGTTCTAATGTAAATTATTTGGCAAAGCAAAAACCTCATATGTAATGCCCATAATTATCCACCAATTTATCTGGCTTATAGTTTCAGATTTATATAAGTCGATTTTTCTCAGTGTGGTCTACACAACTGATGTGTGTTTGTACATTCCCAAGTGTGCTATCAGAGCTTAGTCATCTTTGTGAGAGATAAGCATGGAAGGGCCCCAGAGTCCCAGGAAATTGAATACAAAATAGCATGCCTGCATCTGAATGTTTCTTGGCATAGCATTCATGCTATCTTCAAAGGGCTCCAGGGCCCTCAAAAGTGGCTACATTGCTGGAATGGAGGATTGTGTAGCAAGGGAGTAGGATGGCATGAAACAGAACTATCTATTCCTTCCATACCAGCAAGGCCAGATTGTAAAGTTCATTGACATTGATGAAGATCTTCCATCCTGAAAATACGAGCCCCATAGGAAAAATGTGAGCAAGGCAGTTGTGATCGCTCTATCTTACTATCCCGTGAAGTGCACTTATTTGTCAAAGATAAACAAGAAAATAAATTTCAAATGTATCACTGCAAAAAAAGTCACATAAATGAGGTGATTGATATGTTAATTAGCTTGATTTAATCATTCCACATTGTTTTTCCATATATCAAAATATCATACTGTATCCCATAAATGTAATACAGCTGTGATCTGTCCATTAAAAATATTAATCAGGGCTGGGGTTGGAGCTCAGTGGTAGAGCACTTGCCTCCCAAGCATGAGACCCTGAGTTCGATCCTCAGCATCACATAAAAATAAATAAATAAAAATAAAGATATTGTATCCATTTACAACTAAAAAAATTTTTTAAAAATATTAATCATATTTGTTATAAAATACTCCATGAAACAAGCATGATTCAGGCCCCTCTATGCATTGAACTTCCTCAAGGAAGACTTTTAAAATCACTTTTAAAAAACATTTTTCTTCGATTATAAAAATAACAAATATTTTATAGATAGGTGACAAGTTCATATAAAAATAAAGAAAAATAATCACCCCTTCACTCACAATACAGAGACAACAACTGACAGCACTTTGATCTCTATCTTACATCTTTTTCATCTATTTTTATTTTGCATGGTTGAGAGAACAATGCTTGCTATTATTCATTTGGTAAGTGATTACTGTAAGTCAGGAATAACCTTAATCTTCAAAATAGAAGATTCTGTTATTATTTCCATTTTAGGGATAGAAAAGTGGGAGCTCAGAAAGGTTAGATGACTTGCCCAAGATCATGTGACGAATTGAGTGACAAAGGCAGGCAGGACCAGGATTCAGGCAGCATGGCTTTCAACTTTTCTGCCACTATCACTCATACTTGTGCAATGTTTTACCTCAGGCCTCTTTTAAGCCTAAGGATCCTACACGCCACTAAAAGTCATATGCAATGTGTCTTCTTAAAAATCTTTTCCAATAAATTCAACTGCAATACCACGTTAAATGATTGATGGCCAATTCTTGTCCAGCCTCTTTGTATTGGCTTTTGCTACTCACTCCCCAAAAAGTGTATTTATGGAAGTAATTAAATGGAGCATCACAGGATCATCTGGAAAATGGGACCATGAAAGACCCTGCAGTCCACAGGGTCCATAAAATTTCATAAGATACCTAAAATGTCATAGTACATAAAAATACATAGACCATCTCCAGATGTAAAATGAGTGCATAAAATGTCTCCAGAAGTCCATTTGCTTTGCAGAGTCTTTGAAATGCTAAATCCTAGAACATTAAAATTGGAAACATTGGAAATCATCTCTTCCAGGTACTTTTTAAAATTATGGATCAATTTTTGGGGAAATTTATCTTATTGTAGAACATTTCAATATACACAAACGAAGAGAAAGCAAGTATAAGGAACCATCATGGATCTAATTGCCCAGGTTCAGTAATTATCAGTTCCTGGACAGCATTGTTTCTACACATCCACCATCACCACCAGCCCCCATTCTCCCACACGGAATCATTTGAAAGCAAATTCTAGCCATGAAGTTATTTCACTGGCAAATATTTCAGGTTGCATCCATAAAAGGGGCTCTTTTTGTAAATATGACTATGATCCTATTAGCACATATTCCAGGTGTTTCTTCTGGTCAAGGGTCATATATATATATATATATATATATATATATATATATATATATATTTTGGAGGTACATGAATGGTCTTTGGAAAAGCTGTGAGTAAACAAAACCAGCATTCAAAGTTGCACATGTGCAGGCATTTGTGCCTTGTCTGGGGAAAGGATTTATAGCAGACATCAGATCCATAAGGGTATATAACCTTCAGTGGCTGTTTCTCTCCCTCTCTCACCTCCTACCTCTCTCTGTCTCCCTCTCTCCCTGTCTCCCTCTCCCTCCTTTTCTTTCTCCCTCCTTCTCTTCATCTCAGAAATTGAGAAAGAGAGGAAGTGACTTGTTTGAGATAGTTACTGGCAATTCTTCTGTCTAAAAACCCTGTCTTAGATTTTGGATATCCCAGTACAATTTCCTCAGAGAAAATTCCTGTAAGCACATGTAGTAATGAAGTTTAATGTAATTGTGGTTTTTCTTTTTTATTGGTTGAGTTGAGAAAGTTTGAAAACCACTAATGTACCCCACTCTACTGTCTTTCCATTAACTATTCCAGAAAGACCATGGTCTAATTTATTTTCTAAGTGCTAGACAGAAATCATTGAACCAAAGAAAAATTTCATGTTTCTGTGACCACAGGCAAGTTCCTTATGTCTCCAAGCCTTGGCTTCCTCATCTATAAAATGGAGATGCTAATGGCCAATTGGTGTGGTTTTTCTGTAAAACCTAAGAAAGTGTAGAACACACACTATATACTTCAAAAACATATAAGCATGAAGCACTTTTGTTTTCTCTTCTTATTTCAAATTGAAAGACACCTACTACTAGCCAAACCTAAATGCCATCATTGGAATAATTGCAATTGTTGCAATTGACATTACAATAGCATGTCTAAGTTTGTTCCCTTTGGACTCTTAGTTATGCTATTTACTACAGTGAGATCTCGCTATTTTGCATCCCCAAGACCTATAACATGTGACTTCATTTTTGAAAGTGTGCACCCATTGCCCCAATGAAGCCATGAACCAAGGAGCCAGCTCACTCCCGAATGATCCTCTCTGAACCTATAGCACCATCTATCCTAAGGAAAAAAGTCCCTAAGGATGAGGAAAAGCCCTGAATCTCTCAGAAATCTTTCTGTATCTGTCCATAAATAAGTATTCTTGAATGCCTATTTTGTGCCGCACATGCACCACATCAAGACATGAATCTGTTATTAAAAAGGAATTTAACTTATACTCAGGAGAGAA